ACAGCAGATTCTATTAAGAATACTTTTAAAGGAGGAGAGTAACAGTGATGTATTTCAAACATATAGAGACATAACTGCCAACCCCAGTTACTATATGCAGCAAAATTATTCCTCATAAAAGGAGACAGAACAAAGTTCAGTAATGAACACAACTACAGGAATGCATAACCACTGAAACAGCAGTATGAAAGACTCTAGAAGAACTTCACACTCAAAACCGAGTGGACACAAGAGGTCAAAGGAACATAGACACAGCACTAAAAAGAACTATTAGAAAAGTCTCAAATACTGCAATAACAAATGGACAATGATTTACAAATAATTCTCAATAAGAATGGAATGTTAATGGTCCCATTTTCTAATCAAAATGTGCAGACAATGAGATTGGTTCAAAAAGAAAAACAGACATTCCTTTGTTACCTTCATGGGAAGAAAACCTTTATTCATAAACATGAATAGAATCCTTCTTTAAAAGGAGGGAAAGCATTGTTATGAAGTGAAATAGACAAAAAGAAAATTAGAGAACAATCTCCTGGATGAACAGGGATGTAACAATTCTGCACTAAATATCTCCCAAGAGATCTCAACAACACAACAGAAAGATCAGTCTTGGCAACTAAGATGACTTCATTCCAGGGATGCAAGCATGGTTCAACATATGTAGATCAGTTAAGCGTATTATATCACATGAATAACTCAAGGATAGAATTCAATTGTTTTCTAAAAATGTGCAGAAAGGACTCTTAACAAAATCCAACCTCAATTAAGATTAAAAAAAAGAAACAAAGTCTGACAGAATAGAAGGAACACATCTTGACATAATAAGGTTTTCTATGTCAAACCTTTTTGCAGACAGATGTTTCCTGTCTTTATTTCTTGTTCCCAAATACCCAGAAGCCATGTCCCAAATTACCACACAGAGGCTTATACTAATTATAAATGCTCAGCTGATTGCTCAGGTTACTAGCTAACGCTTACATTTAAATTAACCCATTTCTATTAACCTATGTATTGCCATGTGGCTTGTGGCTTTATTTCTCCTTCAGCATGTCTTGCTTCCTGGGTGGCTGGTTGGCATCTATCCTGACTCTCCCCTCCTTCCCATCATTCTCAGTTTGGCTTTCCCACCTAACTTCCTGCCCAGCTACTGGTCTGCCAGTTTTTATTAGTCAATGAGAGTACTACATATTCATAGTGTAAAAATGGATTGTTTCACAGCATTTCCACCTTTTTGCCTAATTTAAAAGGAAGGTTTTAACCTATATATAGTGAAACTATACTCAACAAAGACGGTTATTAAGTAAGAATTATAGTAATACTATCTATTCCATTTGCATTTGGCAAAACTAGAGAAAATACTTAATTATCTATCTTATCTTGGTGAGTCTAAAGGTTTGTATCTAATTTACTTTCTATTATAACTAAGGAAAACTATAATCATAGCTATGTAATCTTTAACTCCATCAAAGATCCCAGAAGGGTGAAATGTTACCTAATGACAAGGACATCAGGCTGCTTGGACAGTTACCCAATGTTCCTCTATAATGTTGGGGCATCCAACTCTGGCCTACAGGCCTAGCATATCTGACAGACTTTCATGTGAAACAGGATTTCTGAAGGACTCTCCTGCCTTGTTTGGAAAAGTTTGACATTCACTTTCTTTTGTGTCCTGTTTGTCCATTTTAGACAGCATACCGTCAGCAGTTGAGGCAAGGGCTATTTCTTGCCCAAGTGGCTAACTTTTCCCACAAAGAAAGTAAACTCCATATGGAGTTTCTTTGATGCCTATTATCTTTTCTGAAGTAGATTGGTGCTTTCAGGAGCAGACATTTATCATTGTCATAAAAAAATCTTATGATTTTCAAACATCTTAAATGTCATATTCTGTAGATCTCTGAAGTGTTTGAAGATCATATATCTAAATATATCTGTTTATGATCTTGAAAACATACCTAACATGACAATAATTTTGACTATTATAGACTATCAATGTGTATTTTTAATTATACATTGCATTTTAAATGAACTGTATGAGCACAATCCTGCAAACAAGTGTAGAAACATACATACAACATACCAGAAATAACTTTAGATTTGTGTCAATAAATTTAAATCTATACCAATGTAAAATATTTTGAGTTTGTATTTTGAATTAAAGTAAGTTCAATAATCTACCCATTTCCTCCAACACTTCTATATTATATTCCCCTTTCTTCTTTTATAAAGATATCTCTATATTTAACTCCTTTGTTTAGCCTTTGTTGAGTATAACCAATAACAATTTGTAACCAACCCTTCCTTAAATAAGAACAAACATTTATGAGCAATATTTTGGGAATGTGGGAGTAGGTCTCTAGACTACTTCCTGTTGATTGGGGGCACTGGTAATCTTTGGAGGACCCTGAAAAAATTTAGGATTATGTTTAAGTCCTGACTGGATTATTTTGTGAGGCTGGATCATTTTAGTTAGCATGCTGGAAAGCTGTTCTGGATGCTGGATCACCTGGGCCATAGGGTTCATTGGAGATTTTTCAGGAGGTCTTTCTGTGGAAACAAAAGCATAACCTCTCCCTCAAAGTAACATATCTTTTGAAAATTTTTGAAGTCCAGATAATTTTAAAATCATAAGTTGGTTTAATATAGCAGTTTCCATAATCTGAGCTCTCTTAGCAACCAAAAAATTTTAAAGACAAAATAATAATATACATAATCCAAACATTCTGCATATTTTCCAGCTTTATGTGGATTATTTCTTTTTATATTCTTTTACTCCCATTTTAATACTTTATTTTATTATTTTAAAACTATATTTTAAAATCTAAGACTGTATATGCTCTTTCTCTTTTCTCTCCCAGGATTATGCATATTTTTAAACACACTGTTTAAGAGACTCTTTTTTTCTAAGTTCACCCATATTGTGCATTGGTAACCTTTTCTGTCTGTCTGAGAAACAAAAAAAAAAATATTTGTGTAACTTAGATCATGGCATGCTGGTGCTGGCTCCTCCCACTTGGTTCTCTGTCAGACTAGTCTCATGGTGGAGGCAAGTTTGCCACCAGCTTTGGGAGCGATGTTTACCAAGCCAAATCTGGGAAGTTACTGGGTCCACATTACCACCGAGGAGTCAATGCTCATAAATTCATTTAAGTTTTTGGCAGCAGAGCCTCTTATTGGAGCCACCCTATTTTTGCTGAAAACACTTAGTCAGGAAGCCTTCTCTTAAAAGAGCTGCCCCTTTGTTCACTGTCAGCAAACAAAGCCTACCAGAGAAAAGCCTACCAAGAAGCTGTGCTTGACCCTCTTTCTGTGTGTCTAGAATCCTTTTTTAAGCTTTGCCAGGCCACATGTTGGAATACCATATGAAGCATTAATCTAATTAATCTTATTGATAAAAACCAGGAGTCCAATATTGGGGTAAAAACTTGAAAGATCCAGAGGAGCAGCCATAGTCATTTCATACCTCTCCAGTTCCTTCAACCAAAAGGGCCTACATCCTTAATATACCCAATCTTGTAACTTCCTGTCTCCTCTATGTACAGACCTCCAGACTGCTATAATTAACTAGTGATAGTGACTAGCTCCACCCTCAAACTCCAAGCAAACTTTATTTGTCAGAACACAAACAAAATATTACACAATACCTTTTGACAGCACTGTAGCACAATGAGAGAAAAATAAAAGAATAACCATTAAAATCAGAATGGGCAGGTGTGTGTGTGGTGTTGCATGTCTTTAATTTAAGCTCTTTGGATGCAGAGGCAGAAAATCTCTTTCTTTTTGTGGGCAGCCTGCCCTACATAGCAAGTCCAAGTAAGTCAGAGCTACATATGGGACCACTGTCTTAAAATAAATGAGAAAGAAATGGACAAGAGCATGCATGCATTGTCTCCACTCTTCTTCAAAATAGTCTTTAAAATATTAGCAAATTAAAAAACTAAATGAAAAGAAGTAAAAAAATAAAGGAAAGAAATATAGCCTGGTCTACATAGGGAGTTTAGGAGAAACAATACAACACCATGAGACCCCATTTCAACACAAACAACAACAGCAAAGGAAGCATTGTAGTTATCAGTATCTGTGGAGAACATGAGATGATTCTGTGCAGAGGAGATGTTGTGGTTTTGAAATAGAACTTAATGCAAAACAAAAGATGCAAAGTGAGCATGCAAGAATCAGGAACTTTCTGATGCAGCATAAAAATCCCCATCACCAGGTTCATAGTAATACAAAGACGATATATACATTTTTTTTTTCAGTTTAAGAAATCCTTCAGTTGACTTTAAACAACCTTTTATTGAGGTTCCAGCTGAATTAGAGTCTTTGTAAGGACTTTCCACATCAGGAAACACTTTACCTTCCAGCTCACTGCACATCGACTCACCAGTTTCTCACCACAAAATAAACTGGGTTCTGCATTTTTAGCCGTTTTGCTCTTTATACTGTTTGTCATGCTTTGCAGTGCTGTTTTACTGGAGTTAATCTTTGTTATCAGAGATTTTTGGAGATATTTCTCATTTTCAGATGTTCATTCATCCCAGCTTGCTATTTTTTTTTTTTTTGCAGTGATTAAACAGTGACCCTAAGCGTATTGAGAAGGAATGTTTTCTTTGGCTCATGGGTTATAGTTAATGGGAGACAAGGCAGGATTCTGGAGACTGCAACCAAATCATAGACACTGAAGGAACAGTGCTTACTGGATTGCAATGCTTGCTTTGTCCTGCAGCCTTGCCTAGGGACAGTACTGCCCAGTGTGCTGGGCACTCCTACATCACCTAACGGTCAATGAAATGCTTCACAGATTGGACAGCAGTCTAGGCTGAAGGAGATAATATTTTTCAGTTAAGCTTCTTTAGGCCCCATGTTTTTTATTGTATTCTGAGAAATGTGATCACTCACTTGGAATATATGAAATTAGCTCATTAATATGTAAACATGCTATATAATATAGTTATAGAAGGAGTAAGTAAACCTGACATCAGCATGTGTCTGATTTTCCTCAGATGCTGCCCTCTGTGTGCAGTGCTGATTGTGGTCCTGGATTCAGAAAATCCTGGCAGGAGGGAATGGCAGTCTGCTGTTTTCAGTGCAGCCCCTGCCCAGAAAATGAAATTTCTAATGAGACAAGTGAGTATTTACTACAGTTATAAATCTTTCACATTGATCATCCTTTCCACCCCTCATACTGGGATGCAGAAGGGTCTAAAAGGGAACTACACAAACACAATAAATTATTTTCCTAAGTCTTTATAGGAATATGATTGTTAACTAAGTCCCTGTATAAAACTCCTCATGCCTTGACCCACATCTTGACTCATTGTAAATTCATGGCTGGTGGCATTTTGTCAAAGAGACAGATTTGATAATCAAACTGCAGCGTGAGAGAACTTTACACAAGGTCTTTCATAGTGATTAATCTCCTCTAAAATTACACATAGATTAAATTCAGGTCTTGAATCTTTCAAAATATTTTTAATGTTTTTGCATATATGTATGTGTCCCTATATAAGTTTATACATACCAGGTATGTACAGGTGTGCGCAGAGAAGAAAATAGGGCAATGGATCTGCTTGACTGTATGTAGGTGCTAGCAACCAAATCCAAGTCCTCTGTAAGATTAATGAAGAGGGAAAATAATTTCCTGTTCAATTATTAGTAACTGCTAAGAATGAGAGAAGACTACATGTAATATCCAGAGATCTCTTCTCAAAGGTTTGATTTGATTAGAAATTTAGGAAAGTGGCGATAAGTATTGACACATGATATGGAAAATACATTCAATATTCTTATATACATCACCCAGTAGCAATGTCACAAAGTAATCCATTAAAATGGTTTTGTATGAAAGAAATTAGCCACAATTATTGAAATGATATTATCACCTACAAAGCCCATATTAGTCAAATGATTATTTATTCAAGATTTGCTAGATATAAATGATAGGCAGATAGTTTTTCACTACTTTTGCTTGTAATCCTATGTAATTATATTGAAAGTCCTTAAGGGATATGTATGGCAAGTAAAATGACTCACTAATGCTGATTAACTGAATTCATCCTCAGGACCCATATAGTAGTAGGAGTTAGCCAACTCCTAGAAGTTGTCTTCTGAACTCCATGCAATCTCACGTAAAACATATGCTAATGTGATTAAACACAGTATAATTAAACTCTTTTAAATTTAAAGACACATAGGAATAAAAGTTATTTGTGACAAAAATTAGCAGAACTGTCTTTATTATTACTTTCATTATGTGTATGGATGTGAGGCTGGTGGATATGTGCGCACAAGGGACAGTGCAGCAGAGAAGCCTCCAATGACTCTGCAGTTTTAGTTTCAGGTGGTTATGAGACATCCGATATGGATGCTGAGAACTGAACTCAGATCTTCTGCAGGAGCAGTACATTCTCTTCCCAGTTGAACAAAGTTCCCAGCCCATTAAAAGAATTAACTAAATAGAAAAGTGCACAAAAAATTATTCTAGATAAAAATACTTAACATGTTGGAAGCCCGCTGTGACTATCTGTAATTACCCAATGATTCTGCGCAATTACAATATGGTTTCCTACACTTACCATCATGACTATTACAACTTATGAATAGGGCACTATTTATTGCTCAACACAAACATTCTGTATTGCTACTCCTTCTTAAGAGCTCTTGTGTTATCTTTATCATGCTGTTTATGCGTATCTACCTCACACTAGCATACACTAGCAGAGTCTGGATCTCACAGAAATATAAATTAGGGAAGGAGGAAGATGTTGTCTGTTCCGAAAGGTAACAGAATCCAGGTGTAGCGTCATTTTAATGCTAAGTATATTCAGAAGTTTATACTTTTAGTGATAGTGTTACTGCTTCTTACAAACAACTATTGGGAGCTTTCTTTCTCTACTGCCTGAAGAAGATATTACTGAGGCTGTATTTATGAATTCTCTTATTTTTGCCATCCTCAAGCATTATTATATTCATATAACTTTCATCTTTCACTTTTACCCTTCTACTTACCCCATATAAACCCAATCACTTTTAAATTCATGAGCTTTTTGTTTGTTTGATATATATACACTTATAAATATATGCACATATATAAATATATACACATGTAAAACTTACTGATTCCATGTAGAGTTGCTTTTATTTCAATGTGTTTGGGCCAGCAAATTTGAACTAGAAAATGTATCAGAGGTCTGGTCCCAGTGGAAGACACTGTCTCCATATCTTATGGGGACAGCTTTCATAAAAGAGACAAAGACATCAGGAGGCATTGAATCCACGTGATATCTGATTTTAATACACACTCAGAAAAAGTATGGTTCACTTCGGTGAATTCACCACTATAAGGCACTTCATCATAGCATCTGTAATATATTAAAAAATCTGTACTTTCTAATATCATGTCACATGATCACATCAATTCAAAAATGATTCTTTGGTTTTGTTCCCCATAGAGATAATGAGAATTATGAAATGGAAGCATTGTTATGCAGCAATGTTCTTCAATGACATCCTCAACAACAAAATACAGATATTGCAATGCTTTTTCAATACACATAATTGAAATGTCCTGTCAATGAAAGTGCTGAAGCAGAAATACTAATACTTTACTTTCTCTATCAGATGTGGATCAGTGTATGAAGTGTCCAGAGGACCAGTATGCCAACACAGAGCAGAACCAGTGCATTCACAAAGCTGTGATATTTTTGACCTATCAAGACACCCTGGGGATGGCTCTAGCGTTAATTGCTTTGTGCTTCTCCGCATTCACAGCTCTGGTTCTTGTGGTCTTTGTCAAGCACCATGACACTCCCATTGTGAAAGCCAATAACCAGAAGCTCAGCTACATCTTGCTCATCTCACTCATCTTCTGTTTCCTCTGCCCCTTGCTCTTCATTGGCCACCCAAACTCAGCTACATGCATCCTGCAGCATATTACATTTGGAGTTGTATTCACTGTGGCTGTTTCCACTGTGTTGGCCAAAACAGTTACTGTCCTTCTGGCTTTCAAAGTCACTGCCCCTGGAAGAAAGATGAGGTCCTTTCTAGTTTCAATGGCACCTAACTACATCATTGTTATCTGTACTCTCATCCAATTTATTGTTTGTGCAGTCTGGCTAAGAGCTTCTCCTCCCTTTGTTGATATTGATACACATTCTGAGCATGGTCACATCATCATTGTGTGCAGGAAGGGTTCAGTCACTGCCTTTTACTGTGTCCTGGGATACCTGGCCTGTCTGGCTCTGGGAAGCTTCATTGTGGCTTTCTTGTCCAAGAGTCTGCCTGACACATTTAATGAAGCCAAGTTGCTGACATTCAGCATGCTGGTGTTCTGCTGTGTCTGGATCACTTTCCTCCCTGTTTACCATAGTACTAAGGGTAAGGTCATGGTGGCTGTGGAGATTTTCTCCATCTTGGCTTCCAGTGCAGGGATTCTGGGATGTGTCTTCATTCCCAAGTGCTATATAATTTTGTTAAGACCAGATAGAAATTCTCTCCAAAAGATCAGGAAGAAACTATCTTCCAAAACTGATATCTCATGAATTCTAATACATAGTTGGTTATATATTAGACAAATCTATAGTTGGTTCATAACCACCAAATGCTGAATTATAATGCAACACCTATCCCTTTTACAATGACTCTCACTGTTTCCTCTAATGATGTTACCTAGCAGTATCATGTCTACTACTGTTGTCTACATTGGCTCCTATAATCTTTCACACAGCCACTCATTTCATAAGACCTAGCCATTGGACAATAGTGCAGTATGGAGATATCCTTTTCTTCTCTAAAATACAAACATGTTCAAAATAAAATCAGTGTTCTTACTTTAATATCTGTGTGGATAAATCACTTTGAGGGCAGATGAGTGGTGAGATAAAATGCAGAATATTTGTGGGAGAGTGAACTTGTGCTTATCAATGATGGTAAAATAATATTCCTCCTTCCAGGGGAATGTTAAGATAATCCTGATGCATCCTAGGGGTTAGAACAGTAGAACTTAGAGCAGAACAGGATGTTTTGATAAACAAATAGAAAGAATACTGCAGATGCTGGGTTAATGTCTAAGCAGTTGAGGTCATGTACTGCTCTTGAGAAGGACTTATGCAATTCTCATCCCCAACAAAATGCTCTTGACAACCACTAATAGCAATGTCTCCAAAGGATCAGGTGACCCCTTCTGGATTTTAAGGTTATCTGTACTCACATGTGCACATAATCACACACACACACACACACACACACACACACACACACACACACACTTAAAATCACATAAGGTTTTTTCTTAAATATAGAAAAATATTACAAAGACTATGCACTTGGATTCTGCTTTTCAATGTGCTCTTAAGATGTCAGAATTAGAAATAATCTATGGACAAAGAATAAGATATGAGAAGAGATGACTGGGACTGTTAGTGCATATGACATAAGAAACTTCAACTTAAAGTGTACCAAAAGAGACATAGCTAGGGAATTGATAAGGGAAGAATAACTTGGTAAATTGATCTCTATTTGTATATATGAATGTTAGAGATCTTTGAAAATCAGAACTCTGCATTTGTCACATATCTGTTGAAGGAAAACATGGGTCTTAAGTAAATTGTAACATAGTAGTAATTTGCAATTTTTTTTTGTCAAATATATATCCCTGGTCCAAGGTTATAAGAGTTAGACTTCTTTTCTAAGAATTATTTTTTTTCGTTTCTTGTATAAGTGTGTTTTCTATTATGCAAGAAGTAAAGACAGAGACCAGCATACAGCGTTGAATCCCAAGAACTGTCTTTATGATTATTACTAAGGGGAGCTTTTCAGTTCCATGAGGCCCAGTTTATTAATTGTTATTCTTAGTATGTACACTAATGGTATTCTTTTCAGAAATTTTTCTCTATTCCAATGATTTCAAGGTTCTTGCCCACTTTCTTTCCTGCCTGGTTCACTCTACTTGATTTTACATTGTGGCCTTTGATAAATTTGGACTTGAATTTTGTGCAGGGAGATCTTCATGGATCTATTACAAGATGTCTTATATATGTAGACATCCTGTTAGGCCTGCATCATTTGTTAAAGATGCCTTACTTTTTCAAATGTGTATTTTTATTTTCTTTACAGAGTCAGGTATCCATAGGTGTGTGAATTTATATATAGGCCTTCAACTCAAATCCATTGTCTTTTTTTATTCCAATACCATGCTGTTTTTTTTGTTTAACAATGGAAGACACTTTATTTAGTTAGTTTTTTAAAATATTCTCTGAACATTTCAACTCTGTAGAAATCAAATGCAAAATATGTGCATTTTTAAATTAGTATATACTCAACTGTCCGGATCACAGCAAACTCCTACAGTGAGACACACCTGCGGGGGGGGAGGCCGTGCCAGTCTGCACAGCCAATATTTCCTGGTGGAAAGCACTCGGGACTAACTCCAGTAACCTGGCCTCCATCTGAGAGTCCCTGCAATGCTGAAGCCAACTTGAATGGAAAACTAGAGCTCTCAGGAGTGGGCCAGGCAGTGCTGGCCAGTGTGGAAGGAACATCAAGGACCACAGCCCAGGGAGGCTAGTCTCAGTAATAAGATTGCTCAAATTTAGTTGTATATACACTTATCTACATGTCATTTATAGCTAGAGATAAAAAAGGGGCCTTTTAGGTTTGGAAACCTTTCAATTCCTTCCGTTAATTGGGAGGACCCCGGGCAATTTCCCGTTGGTTCGGGTGTGGCCAGAGTCAGCCTGCTTCAGAGCTGAATGCCTTTGGGAAAACCCCACTAGCACGTAGATCCCACACAGCAGACATCACAGCTGTCTATGGCTAAAGTGTGTTACCAGTTCACAAGAAAGTAAGTTTCAAATTCCTGTCCTTCTCCTGGCTCTGTTCCCCAAAAAGGAAAATCCAGAGGTGGATTATTTATACAAGGAATCGTGGACACTCAGCTGAGTACTGGAGAATCATTTGTCCGATGGGCACACACCACCTCTACCCACCCTAGTGCAAAAAGACAGAGCTCTGGGAACCAGTGAGAAAGGCTTAGGTGGGTGTAGAGGGAACCCCACCTGAATTTCCTTCTGAAATGAACTCAAAGTCTGGGGTACAAGATTCATGCTCAGCAGGCACCAAGACAAGAGCTGTAGATGTGAGAGCTGAGGTCTCCACCTTGTCTCTGGCGTCACTGCAGACCTCGGCACCATGCTAACCCTGCGTGCACACTGGTGGCAGGTGTCAAATTTTACTGTAGGGAAGGGCAGCAGCTCTCTACTCACCTGAGGAGGAACATGGGCTTTGTCATTCCCTAGTCCGAGGCTTTTAGATCCACCCTAGCAAGTGGAGACCACCCCAGGAAAGGGCATGAGCACCCCCCTGGAAGACTAAAGGACTCAGGGTACCTTTATAATTACCATATCATTAATTTCTTTCATCATGTTGAAACACACAGCAAGTTGAACACTCACTTAAAAATAAACCTCAAACTCTGTATATACAGCACAGTAGGGTGCAAACAGGAAGGGACATCAGTCCTATTGTGGAGTCCACTTTCCAACTGCTGAGCAGATCTCGACAACACTGAGGGCTGATTGAGTGGAGCTGGCAAGATGGCATTCAGCTAATACTGGACATGGCTCCCCTTTGATACCAGTTGCGGGAGGGAGGGGGCGGGCACATCTGCCTAGGGATCCTTGTATAGGGATCCTTGATTGGCGAGCCATCAGAGAGGCCCCATATGGCAGGGAGGGGCTCATTTCACAAGCCAGCAGGCCTCTAGCTCGCCTGCCACTCCTGGTGGGTATTTTCAGTGACCCGAAGGATCCTTCTCAGTCCAAGCTGGCTTTGCAGAAGGAGGGGTAGGTGTGTCAAGAGTCCCAGAAACAGAGACCTTCTTTCAAAGAAACCAGAACCCAAACCCAAACCCAAACCAGCTGAGCAGGGAGTGGAGAGGTCAGTGAAATGACTGGATGAAGTGCCACCCTGTCCCTCAAGAGCAGACAGCAGCCGCTGGTGGGGGGTGAAGTGCTCAGTGAACTCCAGTGTGAAGGAGCAGTGGCCCTGGCTGCATCCACGGTCAAGCTCAGGTCTCCACTTCTGATGCTGCTCGCTACCTCTTGATGGGACCAAGCCAGGTCAGTGGTGTAGCCCTTATAGCGGAAGATGGGGGTGGGGCCTATCTGTACACGAGATGGGAGAACTGAGTGGATTTGTAGTTCAGCTGGTTGTTGGGCATGAACTTGTGCAGCTCGCTCTTTCTGCAGCAGCCATGCTGCTTTTTGAAACTATAGCTTTTTAGTAAATTCAAAATCAGGAATAGTGAAACTTCCCAAAGTTCTCTTATTGTTCATGATTTTTTTTTCAGCTATTCTCTTTTGTTTTGGTTTATCCCTATGAAGCTGTATATTTTCTTCTGAAAATCTATGGAAAATTTCATTAAAATGGTGCATTCTGGTGGTCATGCTTGGCTTTGTTGTTTGTATTTATATTCCTAAATCTTGATTTCCAAAAATCTTTCACTTTGGGTCCTATTTTAAATTATTGATTTAATTTCCATTTTTAGGTCTTGAGATGTTTTATTCATTTCCTTCCAGTTTGTTTGTCTTCTTGGATTTCTTTCCTTTAGTAATTATTATTCCTGTTCACAATCTCTCCTGGCCATAGTTTGTCTCCCCTCCACTCTTTCCTGTCTCATCCCCCACACATTTCCTCTCTCCAGTAGATCCACTGCTTCTCCTTTTTCCTTCATAAAGGGTAGGCCTCCCAGGGAGGTCAAACAAAGACCATATAACAAGTGGCAAATGATACTAGGCAAAACCCCTCATATCAAGGCTGGATGAGACAACCTTTTAGGAGGAAAAGTGTTTTAAGAGCAGACAAAAGAGTCAGACACACCCATCTCCCACTGTTAGGAGTCTCACAAACACCCCAAGGTCAACAACTACTGCAAGTATGTAGAGGACCTAGTACAGACCCATGCAGGCGCCATTATTTCTGTTTCAGTCTCTGTGAGCCCCTATAAGCCCTGCTTAGCTGATTCTTTGGGCCATGTTTTCCTAGTTTCCTTCACCTTTCTGCTTCCTATAATCCTTTCTTCTTCTATTCCCCAGGGTTCTCTGTCCTTCACTTAATGTTTGTCTCTGGGTCTCATCTCTACATCTACTTCCAACAGCTGCCAGAAGAAGCCTTTCTGGTGGTGATTTGGCTAGACACTGATCTACAAGCATGAAAGAATGTTTTGGAATCAATTCATTGATTTTTTTTGTTTTGTTTTTGTTTTGTTTTAGTCAGTTGTGTTTGGTTTTACCCTAGGTCTCTTGAGACATTGAACTTCTGGTTCCTAGCCATCCTTTTCCTGAATTTCTTAAAGGATTTAGCATCTTTATCTTTAAAAACTTCAATAAAGTTTTAAGATCTTGTTTTGCAGCTTCAGTAGGTTTACTGGTCACAAATGGAGACATATTGTCTTGGCTAGTTCCCATTGTATTTTTCAGTTGAGAGAGTAGCCTGCCAGTGGTATTCTGCTGCAGAGCTGTGGATGATACAGGGGGATTGCATT